GCGAAGTGGGATGAAATATCCTACTATTTCTGAGATGGCTAGGGATATTCTTGCTGTTCCTATCTCCACTGTTGCTTCTGAGTCGGCATTCAGCACAGGAGGTCGAGTTTTAGATTCGTTGGTGGCTGATGGAGAATATGAGGGTGATGAAGTGGTATTTCAAAATGGTAAAGACTTAATCTTTCTCTTTATTCTTATATTTGTTATCTTGATCAAGTCATATTCTAACAAGTTGTTATTGTTTATGTTATCCAGTATATGCAGCTTTTCAAGCTCGGAGTTCAAGTGCACCTGCAGGACCTAGTGGAAGCTCTCGTGCAGAACCTAGTGGAAGCTCTCCTGCTACCCATGTTTTGGTCTCGAGTCCTACTATGTCACAAGTGGAAGAAGACAATGTCGACGACAATTCTGATGAGAATGATGAGATTTATGTAGATGTAGAGTCTAATGAGGAGTGATAATGGTAGTAGTGTTTATCTTGGATAATGGATGAATTTTTATTTTACTTGGATGTTATCATCTGAGAATTGTAAAACTAATGTGTTTAATTACGAGTTGAAGATAATCTCATCTATGATTGTCAGTATTTTATGTTAACAAAATTATTTATAATTTTGCGCCAAACACCAAACATTTTTTTTTTGCATATGATAGTTGATATACCTTCAATTTTGGACCTATGGTATTACTAAAACATTTAATTATATGAAAATCCACAATTAAATGGCCTAAAAGGTTGTATTACTTAACATAGCAAAATAAAATATGATTAATTTACGTGTAAAATATGTTTAAGTATTTTACTTTGTCTCTAAACTAGTAATACTCTTTAATAGTTAATAGTATGTCTATAGTTATAGAACATATAAAATTAAATATTTTAATAATTAACTAATATTTTAATAATTAACTAATATATAAATATTAGTTTTATAATGTCCACGTCCCAGAAAATTAAACATAATGGTTAAATAAGAATGTACAAATAATAAGAATAAAAGTGTTTGTACAAGCAAAAGAATATAAAATTCAAATAACAAAAGTATTAAAAAAAAAACTTCAAACCGATTCGGTTTCGGGTTCACCCGAACCGAACCAAAACCGCGGTCATTTCTCTGTTTTTTGTACCCGAAACCCGCAAAGCATCCGGTCGGTTTCGGGTTGGCGGGGTTCGGTTTCTCGGTTTTTTGTGGTTTTCGGGTTCGGTTACCCGAACCGAACCGACAGCCCTAGCTGAGGCCCGTGCTCTCTTGGAAGCATGTTCAATGGCGACTGTTGTTCACACTCCAACTGAGATCCTCTCTGATGGCAAGCCTTTAGTAGAAGCATTGAGCAATGAACCGACATTGTGGCCATGACGGTGTTTTGCTTTGCTCTCTACCATTTCATCCTTGTTGGCGCAATCGGACTGGATCCATGTTTCTTTCATCAACCGTCAATACAACAAAAGGCTGATTGGGTCGCAAAAAAATGCACGGTGTAATTCAATACCAGCCGATTGGATCACAAACAATCCTTGATATTGTATCTCATATGTTGTAAGCCTCCTCCCATTTTGGGATGATATGAATGAAAATGTTATTCAAAAAAAAGTTGAGGCCAAGCCAACAAATGTGATGGGGAAGGGTTGTGATTGATTGTAGTGGGCTTGGACCTAGGGCGTTGGATAAGTGGCTGCCTATATTCGATAACTTATGCGGTTATTTTTTATTTGCTTGCAGTTGTGGTTAAACAGCAAACCGCAAAATAGAAAACAAAAGAACATGCTTATTCGGTTTGCGGTTAATCGTAAATCGCGTGATTTTGATGCGGTTAGCGGTTTAACTCCAAAATCGCAACCGTATTACCACCCGTATGTGAAAACCTATTGAAAAAAAAAAAAAAATCAGTGACAATCTAACTCGACACCATCTGTTTTATTTGTTACTCTCTTTATTAAACTAACGAGCAAGATTGGTATGACGTAGATCTGAAAATGAAAAAGATACCAACATGTGATTATTACCCTTAAATTATGACTTTCCTTATCTCTCTCCCCAATTCTCAACATATCTTCTCCATCTCTTCCACTCTCTAGTTCTTCCCAACATTCGTCGCCTGAGTATCGCCAGCAACCATTTGTGTGATTCGTGTACTAATGACAATGTTGGGCACTTTCTGTGCGTAGACATCCTTGAAGCCCCACAATGGTCTGTTAATACTTCTCCTCACGATGAATATCCACCCTTCTTATCCTACTCAACCACCAAAGAAGCATTCTTTTATGCTTTATCCATCGTTGGTTCCATCCATTCTGTTTGATAGTTTTTTGTTCTAGTATTGGGTCATGTAATATGGTATTGGTTTTATTTTTTATTCTGGTATTGATATTTTTTTTCTAGTAGTGGTTTTATTTTGGTATAGGTTGTTTTTTATATCTGGTATTGATTTGATTCTGATACTGTATAGATTTTCATAGTAGTAGTTTTTTTTCTCTATGTAATGATACTTATTTTTTCGTAGTGGTATTGGTAGATGTGTACTGGTATTGGTTGAATCTATATTGGTGGTGCTTAATATTGTATTGATATTGGTTAGTATGTTGATAAGTGCTTATTTTATACATGTTTTGCTCCTCATTTTTTTATGGTTTTTTGATAATTTTTCGTGGAAACAAACTATCATTGACCCATTTTACGTTAGGTTGTGTTATGTTTTGCATATTTCAGGTCTTAGCACATGGAGGAGCCGTAGGAGCAATTTTCGAGAAATTTGAAAGTCAAAACGAAACGAAATGGGAAGTCTGCCCCAATCTCAAGAGACAGGGGGCGACATTCCTATCCAGGCCGTGAAATTGAGGTAGGGGAGGTAGAACTACTTCTAAATATCACGGTTTGGACGCTCAATGTCACGATCGTGACATTGACTTTGCTGCTAGTATAAATGTGTTTTTTTTAATTATAAAAGGGAGAGCTGGGTTTTTGCACCCCAAACACCTAACGGACGAACCGTGGACAGAGAAAGAGACTTGGGAATATTTTTGGAGCAATTTTGGAAGATTTTTTCGTCATTGGAGCCCATGAATCAAGTTTAGGAGTGGAGATTACCGATTGGAAGAAGAATCTCATCACCATAATGAAGTTATTCATCTTTTCATTTGTATTTTCTTCTCTCTCTATGGAGTAAATTATCTTCACTAAGGTTTGAGGAACCCTAGCTATGTTATGTTTGATTTGATGATTGTATGAGTACTCTTGTTAAAATTGAGTCCCTATTCAATCTATGCATCTTTTTAGTTCAATTCTACTTTAATCAAGTTATTGATTATGATTTGATCGAGGATAGGGAATGCCTAATTAGGTCAATAAAGAAACATAGATTGGAAGTAAGGGATTGATTCCGCAAGAGTCAGTCAATAGATTGCTTTGTATTAGGTGAGAATCTTACTCAATAGGAGTCTTGTTCTGAATTGCCTTGGTATTTTGTCTTAGTTGATGACAATCTCCATTTTAGCTATCTATTCAAGAGGGCCTTGTCTGCTTTAATCGAGATTCAAGACTTGTTAAGGACTTTCCACATTAATCATTAATATGGCTAGTGGGAGAGTGTCGCGTTATAGCATTCACTGTCGATATCACGCCTTCTAAGAGACGTGATCTGGCTTTTTAGAGAGGAATGTGACCGTGGGAGGAGTATACTTTGCAAGCTCATTTTTGGGATACCATGTCTCATGAGAGATCGGGTCAAGCTTTTCATAATGAAACACATCTATGTGAGGCTAGCTCATTGTGGAATCATTCCCGATGTCACGCCTTCTAGGAGACAAGATTGAGCTTTAAAAGTAGAATGTAACCGTTGGGAACTGATGTATTGCAATGCTCATTGTCAATCCTCCCTTTTGTGATTCATGATCAGACTTTTTGGAGAGGAATGTGACCGTGGAAAGTTGACATGTTGCGTTGGTTGTAGTTAAATTTGAAAATACAAGTTTGTATGTCGGAGTATGCCATTGTGCATTAATTTTGATGGTTTTCCTATTTCCTTACATGCTCCAGCCTTCATTCTACTAGTTGTGCTAAAATACTTCGGACGCTTTGCACTAGTTTGGCGAGTGATTTTTCCTTGGCTTTACAATTCCGATTCACTTGATCGGTAATCTGCAATGAGTTAAGAATATGTTGACTTTGCGAGCTCTCGTCTTGATTATGACGTGTAACCAGCTCAAGAGGGCTTTGTATTCTACGACGTTATTTGTCTTTAGCTCTTGAAACTCGTCGAGATATTGTGGATGACGCCCTTTGCGTTTCTATGACAATTTCCGCCCCAACTTCTTCTTTCCCGGCAGCTACGCCGACAAATAAAATTCTAACACTGGTCAGTCGGTTGCGCATCTTAGTCCACAACAAAAATATTTGACAATGAAATCGGATAGTGTTTGTGCCTTAATTGTTGCCCACGAGGAGTATTCAATATCACATTCACTCAGCTCAACGAACAACTTGTTTTCTGACTTGGGGTTGAACCTGTTGAAGGCAGCAATCCTCCCATTGAACTCATGTATCTCATTGATTGTTTGAGGTGGTTTTAAGCTGTCAATGACCTCGATGTGCTTAGGGTTGGCTTTGATTCCTTTTATTGTGATCATAATTTCAAGGAACTGCTTCATCTCAAAACATGCACTTCAGTGGGTTTAATCTTAGGCTTTTCACTCGTATGTTGTCAAATGTTTCTCTGAGGTCCATAAGATGGTCATATTTTTTCTTGCTTTTGACCAGGACGACGTCAACATACGTTTCCACGTTTCTGCCGAGTTGGCCTTTAAATACGATGTCCTCCATTTGCTGATATTTTACCCTTACGTTCTTCAAGCTGAGTAACATAACAATTCACAAGTAATTGTCCATCATAGTAAAAAAAAAGCGTAGCAGATGGTATCCCGAGAACATATCAAGGAAACTTAAGATATTGTGATTTTCGTGGCATAGTGTCAATGAGTTAGTTAAACCTCAAGGGTGGGTATTCATCCTTTGGGGTAGTTCAGACAGTTAATCATTCTGACCGCTTGCCGACCGAGCAGTCCGATTCTCGCGGTTATTAAGCCGAAATGAGTCGACCTGGCAGCCGAGAGCCTGTTTCTACTACAATTCTAATAGTAGGAAACAACCAAGCATGACAATACGTAAAGGTGGCTCCGAGAGCCCCCAAAATCTCGCATTTATTCTTTGCGGACGATTCGTATTTGTTCCTGCGCGGAACGCTTCAGGAATGTGAGAATCTAATTGAGGTATTGAATGAGTATGAGGAGCTTAGCGGTCAACGGGTTAACCTGGCCAAATCGGCAGTCTGCTTTAGTAAGAATATCGCGTTGCCTGACCAGGAGTTCTTGGCTGCTATATTGGGGGTTGGGGCGGTAGGGGTCCATGATAAGTACCTAGGTTTGCCTACGCTAATTGCAAGATCAAAAATGGCTACCTTTCGGTACTTGGAGGAGAAACTGCTGGAACGGCTTCAGGGATGGAAACAGAGGACATTGTCATGGGCAGCGAAAGAAACGTTGATTAAATCAATCGCTTTGGCGTTACCGCTGCATGTTATGTCCTGTTTCAAGCTGCCTTTATCCCTGTGTCGTTTATTGGACAAACATGTGGCCCGTTTCTGGTGGGGGCTGTGGAGGATCAGTCGAAGATTCACTGGGTGTCATGGAGGAATATGTGTAGGAGCAAGTTTGATGGGGGCATGGGATTTCGACGGTTCGAGCATTTTAATCAAGCCCTTTTGGCTAAAATTGGGTGGCGAATCATCATGGAACCTCAATCCTTATTGGCCCAGGTGTACAAGGGGAAATATTTCCCCAGGGGGACTTTTCTGACAGCGACGGCGCGGTCACGCCCGTCATGGGGGTGGCAGAGCATTCTTTTTGGTCGACAGCTGCTGGAAAAGGGATTAAGATGGCAGATTGGTAATGGTCGTTCGGCCTCGTTGCTCCATTCCAACTGGATACCCCGGCTTCACTTGGACCCTCCTAGGTATAATCCTCAGGTGCTACCAGATGGGGGGGACCCGCGGGTAGAGGAGGTTTTATGTCCTGGCGAGGGGATGTGGTGTGATCAGAAACTGCAGCAGTGGTTTGATCCACCGACCTGTCAGGCCATCAAAGCAATCCCTTTGCCTTGGAGGGATGTCGAAGATCGATTGATCTGGCATGGTACTATTGATGGAATTTTCTCTGTCAAATCTGCTTATCATCTGGCTGTTGATGTGGATAGGAGGGAGGGTAGATGGAAGTCTGTGGTTGGTTGGATGGACAAGCCTAGCTGGGTTCGTTTGTGGAATGCGGATATTCCGCCGAAATTGAAGGTCTTTATTTGGCAGATCCTTAGTCGTGCGTTGCCAACTATGGAGGCTCTCTTGGAGAGGAAGGTGGATGTTAATCCTAGGTGTCCGGTCTGCTGGGAGGGTAAGGAGACACTGGAGCATCTCTTTCTGGATTGTCCGGTGGCTCGTGCCTTATGGGACTACTCGGGACTGGACTACCTTGGAGAGGGATTGCCTAGGCATACGTTTCCGTTGTTTCTGAAGAGAATGTTAGCTCTGGCACATAACCTGGCGTTATTCATGAAGGTGGTGGCCATTCTTTGGCGAATTTGGCGGTCTCGGAACTGGGTTGTCTTTGAGGGCAAGCAGTTTGGGATCCAGGCCTTGATGCGTCAACTCCACCAGCAGTGTGAGGAGTGGGGGGGGTCTCTCTGCAGGTCTGCCTCGGTCGCCGGCTCCTTTGCTCAATGGGCCATCCCTTGCTAGTCCTGTGGGGGACACTAGGACGGTTTGTATGTGGGATGGGGCCACGCGGTGTGGTTCTCACTCAGCGGGTGGGATGGTACTTATGACACCTGCCAGGGAAGTCCTTGTGTCAAGAGGGGTCCAGTTCCCTTTGATTGATGACCCGACAGTGGTGGAGTTGCTGGTTCTCAGGGAGGCGATCGTGTGGTGTCTGGCGTTGGGCTTTTCGGAGGTTAGGCTAGAAGGGGATGCTAAAGTGCTCATTGATAAAATCAACAAGGCGGATGTGCGGGATAACAAGGTGGGGGCTGTGCTGGAAGAAATAAGATATTATTTTCAGGCCCATCCTGGTCTTTCTTTACGATTTGTAGGTCGGCGTAACAATAGGGTAGCCCATATGGTGGCTGGAAAGGCCCTTTCATTGTACCCGACTATGAGTCGGAATTTTGATTTTCGTACCTGACTTGAGTCCAGGATGTAACTATCGTTTGCTTATATCAATATAAGATTATCTTTTGTCTTAAAAAAAAAAAAAAAACGAAACAGAAGCAGCTCTTCAATGATAAAGAAATGGTGATATACATAAGATATATCATTATTACTTACGAGCCGCAAGTCAATACTTAACTTAGGGGCCAACGCCAAAGGAAAAAGACACAACTAATATGCAGATGCAAAACAATGTAAGATGTGCAATTTGGTGACGACAGAGCCAACTGAAATGTTTATTCTTTCATCTGCGCTTCAGACTACACGAGGGAAAGATCATTTGCCGGAATGGATCTCTTAACAAGCTTCGCCCAAGATTCATTGGTCTCTTTGATCACTTTGAGTGCATAGTCCTGGTAAGTCAAACATCATAATCCAGAAACAAGCGTTGATTTCAATTGGTTATAGGAAAAATATACGGTTTTAACCAAAAACTGTAACTTTTCCAGGACGAGTAGTAATTGAACTCCTGACCTTATTTGCTGCCTTGTTTCCAAGACCAAACTTATTTGCAGGTTTGCCATCAGGAATTTTATAATCCCTGAACCAGTCCCTGATTGCAGTAAGAGTCCCCTGTCGCAAATGGAGAGTTTTTAAAAAGCTTAATTCGACATCATAAACTAAATTCAGGAGGAAATTTTCTGCAGTTTAACCATCTTCAACTGATAGGATAAGGTCCATTAGGTCGAGCAGTTTACCATCAATAAAGGAATCTATTGTTTAGGAGTCTAACTACTAGAATTGCATGGCAAGAAGATGTTGAAAGGCTTCGAGAGGCAATACTATGGAGTTCAAAATTCAAATCACTAACTTACGAGGACAAAAGGAAAAAAGAGTAAGAAAGTAAGCTTTACACTATTCTGATTTCAGGCTCTAGTAATCTATAGTTCATCTTGCAAGGTTATATTGTGAAGTTGTTCATTCGACGAGGTAACGCTCAAGCAAGCCATAACTTATTAGACATTCTTAATGAGAGAGCTCATCAGTTCAAAGTGACTCTCCTATCAAACATAACAAAGAGGAAAAACCAGCAAAAATGTTGTTAACTTGTGTACAGTGTTCCATTTTCTCTCTGTACTAATCCTAGCAGGTAGTCCTAGAACATTGACACGATGATGTAATATTGCTTTTGATCTGGTTGTTAACACCAATTACAATTGATTGCTTAGAAAGTAGAAACAGAAAGAAACGGCCTTCAGTGATTAAAGCACAGAACTGGATAAAAATGCTTGGCAATTAGTTTGTTGCTGGTCTTTTAGCAGTTATTCCCACATGGGGTTATTAGAAAAGAGAGGCGGGATTCAGTATTAACCCAGACATAAAGATCGTCAATCTTGAACTTCCTACCATCAGTATTAACCAAGACATTAATGGCATTGATCAGGTAACCAGTAATACGTACCGGAAAATGTTTCTCGACGTCGTCAACATCATTCACAAGTGCAGCTTTTGGGTCGTCTAAAGAAATAGCAACTATTTTCCAATCAAGCTCGCCTTCATCAATCATGGCCAAAGCACCCAGTGGCTTGATCTTAAGAATTTCACCAATCTCTCCTCGCCTCTCTCCTATCTCAACCACATCAACTGACAACCACACACACACAAACACAACCATTGCAGTTGTTTAGACTGTTTGCTTCATGCTGCCATTTGATCTGAAAGACGCAATAACGTATTCAAATGGCGGGTGTTAGTGTTACCATACCTGGATCGTTATCCCCAAAAGCACCATCAACTTCATTGTTTGCAAATGAAGGGTCCTCCCAAGTTTGAGGAAGCAGCCCATAATTCCAATTTATGTTGTATCTAAACAAAGGACAGGAAAACTCTTCACTAAATTGCACAAAGTATCAATCATATCCTGCTGACTACGCTGATTAGGAAAAAGCTAATGTGTCCGAAGCCTGACAGCAACTGGACTTACGGATAGTAACGAAGCTTCCCTTTCTTCGTATCTTGCTTGATCGGAGTGAATGGCTCGTCGGTCGCCACCTCCATTTTGGCACTGCTTTCTTTGGGAATCTCCACAATGAAGTTGTAAACTCCATCGCCCAATTGAAGCGGCACGTCGTGCCACGGCGAAACCTGCTCAAAAGTCAAAACCTTCTCCATCACATTTTGTCTACGCAAACGCAATAGCTACAACAATTAGCAAAAGCCCACGAATCGAATTGAGTTTGAAAAGTGATTCGGACCTTTTTGCCGGAGTGATCCACGAAGAATACACGGTAATCGAGAGTCTCCGGTTGGCCTTCGCCTTTGATTTGGACCTCGGGATTGTAGATAGCTCTGCAAGTATAGAATCGCCGCCCCTTGGCTGACGGCGAAGACAGTGCCCGGCTGCTGAGACGCAGAGCGCAGGAGCTAGCGGAGAACGGCTTCAGGAAATAGGAAGCCGGGGAGGGTATAGACCGGGGATACCGCAACACTCCTCCGGCGAACGCCGTTACTCTAGCAGCCGTCGTGGTTGTTGTAGCAGCCGCCATTTCACTTCTTCGCTTTCAACTTGGGGGGACAAAGGGCAAGTCTGTGAATCGACGTTTGTGAGGCTGCGATTGCTCCCGTCTCGCTTTTAGGGTAGTAAACTATACACAGTGGATATTGCAGAAAGCCACCCCAAAAATTTGGGTTAATTGCAAGGATGGTCACTGGGTTTACTAAAATCGTTCATGTTTGGTCACTGCAAATATTTAATTCCATTCATGGTCACTAAAATTAGTTCAATAGTTCAAATTTGGTCACTCTCCGTTAGTCTCCGTTAGTTTTTGCTGATGTGGCAGTCAACTATTATAGTTGACCGTTAAATGAGTGACGTGGCCAATAAAAAAATAATAAAATAATAAAATTTAAATATTTACAATTTCCAACTCATTTTACAACTATTAAAAAATAAAAATAAAAATAAAACTTACCTCCATACATTCACAATTTCGTATCCTTTCTCCTTGCTTGCTTATGTTCTGTTTTTTCTCTTCTTTAATTTTACCCCCAAATTTATTGAAATAGACGAAGCAGTAATAAACCCTAACTAGCTAACAGCAATCCATCCAAACCAACGAACCAACATCCGATGCAATTGAGATAAAAAAATACCAGAAGATGGATTCGGCGCTACTAAAGTAGAGCAAATCGAGTCGAGAAGATGGGAAAGGATTGTGCAATTGATGAGAGTGAATTACCAGGAATCCGTTATTGCTTCTCTTTCAAGCTCCCACTCTTACTCCCTCATCTGATGCTGCTAATTCGAAGAAGACGACAAATCCAGATGCTCCTCGCTATTCCTCCGCTTCCTGCTCATCATCCCCCCTTCCTCCGCCGCCGCCTCCTCCGAGCTCTCCCTCACCTCCTGCTTCGACGACGACGACGTTTGATTATTCCCGAAATTCCCACCCTGGAAGTTGAGAAACGACGTCGTGGGCTGCGGATCGAGGCCGAAGAGGCTGCGGCGGTTCTGAATTGAGAAATTAGGGTTGAACCCGAGCGCGGCCGCCGCGGCGGCGGCGGATCTGAGCTGGGAGGGGACGGTGAGTGTGGAGCCGGAGCTGCGGAGGGAGATGTTGAGGGAGGTAAATCAGCCATTCGCCCATTCTAGCCATGCAGTGCAGGGCTGCGTTGAACCCATCTCCACGGCTCCATCACTTCCCTCGAGTACCTCTAACTCACCACCAGTCTGGGCCCACTCCAACCATGCGAGACACGGTTGTATTGAACCCATCTCCGATACATCCCTAGCCACCACGCCGGTAGCACTGCTCGATTCCGCCGTGTTCAAAGGTTCGGTTTGGAATTGGTAGTCGTAGTAGGGTAAGCAGACAGCAGATGAGGGAGTAAGAGTGGGAGCTGGAAAGAGGAGCGATAATGAATTTTTTTGGGAGGAGTAAGTTTTATTTTTATTTTTATTTTTTAATAGTTGTAAAATGAGGTGGAAATAGTAGATATTTAAATTTTATTTTTTTTTATTTTTTTATTGGCCACGTCACTCATTTAACGGTCAACTATAATAGTTGACTGCCACATCAGCAAAAACTAACGGAGACTAACGGAGAGTGACCAAACTTGAACTATTGAACTAATCTTAGTGACCATGAATGGAATTAAATATTTTCAGTGACCAAACATGAACGGTTTTAGTAAACCCAGTGACCATTCTTGCAATTAACCCCCAAAAATTTCAATCATATATTTGGGCTGCACTCTTGCTCTCCGAAGTTCCATTTTCACCCCCCGAATTCTTATTAAGCACATATTAGACCAAACTTGAAAACATTTTTTTGATGAGCAAACATTTCAGTCTAGGGTAGGTTTGTTTGAGTGGAGGCCTGGAGGGTGCAAAAACATGCTTAGATCATCCACAATTCTTTGATGGTAAACCCCAAATTTAGCTCTAAAAAGCCCACAAAAAATCCCAAAGAATTAGTCCATTTTTGCTCCAACACAGGTACCAAATATAGCTCGACTGTATTATTCCATCTAATTAATTATTAAATTTGACATCTTAATTAAGAAATTAATTGATTTTTTTGCATAGACAATATCAATGGTTTAATACGGATATTGGTATTACTTTGGTCTGGTCAACTCAAGGTCGATATGATCTAAGAAGTTGAGGGTACCACACCTTCTTCTAATTTCAAAAGAGTACATTTAGGACATTTGTCTCTTTCATAAAAGACTAGGATCTCTGGCTTGTATGCTAATCTTGCCCTAAGGATTTTGATGTTTGACTCATGCATGAAGGATTGAGATGTTAGGCATGCGTGTAGTTTCAAAAACAAAGAACTCGAGGCAAAGGAGTCAAAATGTCCTTCAATGCTTAGGTTGACAAGGGAAAGATAGCTTACAGAGATAGTTCATGAATTCTTCTCCTTTGTGTCTACGAGGACAGGGAGAGTTGGTATTTTTACTATAGTGAGATTGGTTGTGGCATTTAAGATTTCTCTTTTGTTGTCTCTTGAATATATGAGTTGTGGACCATGAGCTTTATGCCCCTTTGACTGACTCTTTCTAGGGTCTTTGATTAAATTCTTCAAGGTCTTAGATAATATGTCCAATCAGTTGCCCATTTGATGCCATTAAACAAATTTGGTGATGCCAAACTAGTTGTGGCATGCCCTTCTTGTTTGCTGGATGTTCTTTGATTCAATTTTTCTTGGGTCATGGGCCAACTGATAGTAGGTCTTTGTTATATCCCCACTCTTATCCTGCTGATGTTTAGGCAAAATATGATCACATCAAACATGTTTTACCATGCGACACCTTCTTTCTTAGGATGTTCGCACCCAATTGACGACCTCTTGATGTTTCTAGACAAAACATGAGAACAATCATATTCCTTCCCTAGGGTGTTTGCACCCAATGTATGCTCCTTGATGTAGCAATGTTAAACATAAGAATATCAAAGAAAAGTACTCCATCTATAATCTCTCATCCTTGCCTGAAGAATGCCCTCAAATTATGGGAGCACTCGTCACCAAAATTTCCAAGCAAACTGTTCAATTCCTACCTCCTTATCTAGTGCTAATGATTAGAGAGTAGAAACTAGCTCTATGGCGGTTAATGTGAGACTTTTGTTGGAATGGTGTTGCTATTTTATAGGAACTAAATGATGTCGACATGTCGTATCATCAAGCAGAAGTCCCTCCTCAAAAATGATGTCATCCCCATCATCACTTTTCATCCATTGCCTTCATCAACTATCAGTTAAAGCTCTGTAAGCTTTTGTGGAGCTGTAGAAGATCATATCCACAAAATCTCTCATTCCTCCTTAAAAATATTTTTTTAACATTCTTCTTTTCTCAAAATCATCTCCAACGTTCAGTTGCTCAAACAGTCATTGATACGTTCTTAATTATACAATTGTACCCCTTAATCTTCATCGTTTCTTGGTCATTTTGTTTGAAAACACTCTTTCTTAAGCGGATTGTATGCTAGGTTGTATTTGTTTATCATATTTCAGGTCCTAGTATGTGAATAAGACTTAGGATCTAATTTCGAGACATTTGAAGGTAGCTAGAAAAGAGACCAATGAGGTCCAAAGAGAGAAGTCATAGCAGTATAAGAGAAACTACAGTTGTTTATTTCCTTCATCAAAAACCGTGACAATTGAGCTGACAATCACGATCATTCCTTCGAAAACAACGACCCTGTAACTAGTGATTAAGGTCGTGAAAAATGGATAGGGTCACAGAAGAAAGTAACTAGCAGATCATCCAAAATCATGGTCATGAATTTCCCATAGTCACGATCGTGATTCCCTAAAGATACTAAGTGAAATGGCCTATTTTGGAAATCACGGATGGAAACCTCAAAATCACTCTTGTAATTCCTCGCTGTGATTTTTACACTGTCGCGTAAAAAAAGAGTTAGCTAATTTTTGAAGTGGAGAGCTTGGTGTTTGTCAGAAAACAAGATAGAGAACATACCTAGAGAGTATGTGCGACTTCCAAGAGTTCCTAGAGCGAAATTGGCAATCTCTTTACCATTGGAGCTTGAGGAACAAATTTGAACAAGAGTATTGAAGACTACACAATGATATCTAAAGTCATGGTACAGTTCCTCCTATCCTCTGTATTTCTTTCTCTCTTGAAGTAAGTTCGCTTTTCACTTGGGTATGAGGAACCTAACTACACTATGTCGATTTGTTGATAGTGTGGATGCTTTGTCTTATCGGACTCATGATTTATATATAATCGATGCATATTCATTGAATCAAAATTTCCAAGACCAAGAATTATTGATTTATGCTATAACCTAGGAGAGAGAATATATGAGTAGGTTGATAGAGGATCGATTGCATAAAGTGAGTCAATTCACTGCTTTGTATTGGTTGTGAATCCAATCGAGGGAGTCTAGTTTGTATTGCCTTGATAGTATGTCTTAGTCGAGAATAAAGTACCTCTAAGCAGTCTAATCAAGACGATGTTGATTTCTTTTATTGAGATTCAAGTCTTTCTTAAACTTTTCACAGATTAAAGAAGGAGTGAAATAAGTTAAAGAACCATCAATTATCAATCCAGTTAGTGGCTAGGGACACCATTGCATGAGTGATCTTCTCATATGAAAACTTTTTCAAATCAATCTATGCATTGTTAGTTTCAGTAATTTTGGTTAATTGTTTTAGAATATGATTCTGCTAAATCATAGACTAAACCCGAGTAACAGTAATTCTAGAGTTTCGTGGATTCAATAAGTAAAACTTACTGCTACTATATTGCTTTCCTGTCTTTGCTTAACTTGGCATTAACTTGAGTGTTAGTTGTAGCGAACTAAGTTTTTTGCACCGTTGTCGGGGATCTTCTAGACAACCAAGAAAGTATTAAGTCCATCACTTTAGTTTTACTTTTCTTTCATTTTCCCACCTTTTCACGATTGATGTGTTTCATGGTATGCATATAATAGTGCATGAACCTAAGTCAATCAGGTGAATTAGTGCATCTTGACAACAAAATCAACCAGACTTTGCGAAACCTTAGAAGAGAAAGAGCCTTAAAACAAGCTCTTGAACAAAAAGAAGGAAAGGAGTCTTCTCGCGCAATGAAATAAGCAAAGATCAAAATAATGGCTGAAGGACAGCCTGAAGCTGAGAAGACCATGGGTGTACTACCTCAGCTCTAAGATTGATGAAAAACAGTATAAAATTTTACACCCTTTGATTGTCGTCAACAACTTTGAGATGAAGACCAACGTGATCTCAATGATACAGAGCTCCATACAATTTCATGGTATGAATAATGAGGAGCCTCATTAGCATATTGAAAGATTCCTAGAGTTGTCTGAGGGAGATCAAAGTGAATGACATACCTTTTCTATCTAGGATTGATCGTCAAAGATGCCAAGTCGAATAGCATGAATGAGTTTAAAAATTTGGTTAAGGCAGGAACCGTGATTGGGAAGGCAACTTGGAAGCTTTATTCGAGCCAAATGGAGGAGAGTCGAGACCATAGAGATACCACATGAAAGTACAAGTTTCATTCTACAAACCAAAGGAATTGGCTGAGGATTTGGAGATCAATTTGACCGCTTTCCAGACGTCCAAGTTGCGATGAGAAGCAGGCCAACAATCCGAGTTTCATAAGGAATCCGAGTCCCACAAGGATTAGGTGTAGAATTTGTTTCCTTGTTAAATTAGGTTTATTTCAAGTTGTGTTTTAGTTTGTTTGAGTTTTTTATGCATATAAAAAGCTTCCTTTGTGTATAGTACAAAGCATATTGAATAGAGAATAATTTATCCTAATTCTCAAACGTGTGTTCGATGAGTTTTTTATTTGGTTTTGGTGCGTCCAAAACTTTTTGAACCCTAGCCTATTGATTGAGAGATCACACTCAATTACATCAAAGGCATCACTATAACAATCGTGTAATCTCCCAGGTATGAGATTCCCCTTTTGTTCCATCCAATTCCGATTGCAAACAAGCTATCCAAGCTCGTTTAGGAACTCTGTTTTGTGTTCTTGTTTCGAAGAGGTTCAATTCCTTGAATCCTTGAAGTTGTGCCATTCTGATCCAACTAAGACCCCTTTAGGGCTCATCAAATGGCATCAATAGCCTAGTTATACACAATGGCAAAGAAGACGACTTTGACGAGGGAAGACGTGTGTTGGACAAGGTCGAATGGCCCTGTTTCCAGTGATCCGAAAGTGCTGCTCTCGGAACAGAAGAATAAGAATAGGAAGAAGAAGAAGGAAGCGGCGAAATCAACAAGTAACTCCACCAAAATTGACTCCCAGACCGCTGCTGATTGTGCAAAAGGATGCGATGGGTAAGAATCAACCCATCACGATAGCAGAGCTGCAATATTTCTTCCAACAACAGGTAGTTGCTCTATTCCAAATGCAGCGAACTAAACAGGACGAGAAATTCCCAACTCTTTCATCCAAGTTCGATGATTTGAACCAACAGGTCGCGACATTGAGTCAACAATAAGGTCCAGTCAGGGTGACCACAAAGCAGATTGAATAGAGAATAATTTATCCTAATTCTCAAACGTGTGCTCGATGAGTTTTTTATTTGGTTTTGGTGCGTCCAAAACTTGTTGAACCCTAGCGTATTGATTGAGAGATCACACTCAATTACACAAAGGCATCACTATAACAATCGTGTAATCTCCCAAGTGTGAGATTCCCCTTTTGTTCCATCGAATTCCGATTTCAAACAAGCTATACAAGCTCGTATTGGAACTCAGTATTGTGTTCTTGTTTCGAAGAGGTTTAATCCCCTTGAATCCTTGAAGTTGCGCCATTCTGATCCAACTAAGACCTCTAGGGCTCATCAGTCCCCATCATGGCTTTAACGACTAGTACCAAGTGTATCTCTTATATAATGGGTTGTGCATAGAAGACTTGCACATGATAGAATCATTTTGCCCTAGCGGTACAAAAAATAGAACTCCACCTCAGATGACTCAACTCTTCAAAGAAGGGGTTCTTGAACAATAGGATAAATCAACAAGAAGAAGAATGACACAGTGTTTACGTAGTATCCCTTTGATTGTTTATCGAACACCTCCTTTGCTTTCGGAGTAATCATGTGTACAATATGCTCTGCATTGTTGATTCTCATCGTAAGATGATGTTTTGGAACGTCGATCAATGCATCAGAAGTGGTCAAGAAGGGCCTCACAAAGATGATAGAGTAATTTCTATCTCTATGCATATCAAGTACTACAAAGTCAAGAGAGAACATGAAGGGCCCTATCTCGACCTTTAAATCCTTCTCCATACCCAATGGTCGGCAAACCGTATTATCATCCAAGGAGATACTGATGATTCTGCTATCTCATTTGTATATTCCTAGCATCCTAAAGATATTGAAGGGCATATCATTAATACTAGACCCTAGATCAATCAATGCTTCCATGTTGTGAATATCATTGAGAACACATGGAATTACGAAGTGACGATCGGCTCGGGCAAATTTCATTGTACTAAGAGTTGCATGTGGGAAGGTATGTTTCCCATCGCGAGCATGCGAGATAGCTCATGATATTTCTTAAGAAGTCGCTTTTGCTCTTAAGGGGTCAGACATCCCCATAAAGGCCATCAACGTTGGTATGACAGCTTCTTCCCCTCCTAAGGAAGGGATAACGATACGACCACAGAACCTATACTCGTAGTTATCAAAGTACGCAACTTCAAGAACGAACAATAGAAAGGTTGTTTAAGGGTTTTTGTTTGTAGGGATAAAGTGGAATTGAAAGTGCAATCTCAACACAGATCGGGAGAAAGCTCAATCAACATAAATAGATAGAATCTCGACCACAATCAAGTGGAAAACTTGATTGATACACAGAAGAGTTCAAGCCTCAAACTCAAAACCAAGATAAAAATCATATTCTACTAAAAACTAACCTTAAAACCCGAGTCTTAGCCTTTATATAGGCCTGGACAATTAAAAACAAAACAAAACAAAAACAACTTAAACACAAAATCTCGTCAGTCAGGCTGGTCGGGTATTTTGGGCGACTGACCGGGGGAAATCATGCCAACAATCCCCGAACTTCCCCTCATTTCCCCGATCGGGGAATCATCTTCAACCAATACCCGGTCAGCTACCGCCGCCAACTCCCTTGCCTCTTGTCTTCGCTTTGGCACGGGTCCTGGGGAATTGGGCTTGCATCAGATAAACTCATCGAGTATACTCTAGCCAAAAGAACTAGAGCCATTTATAAGAGGGCTGAAAAAGGTTCCCCGACCGCCAAATTGGAAGGCATTTTGGTTGTTGGGGCCACCATTGTCCTTAGGAGGCGTGGATTTCCTCTCCATCTTCTTTGTGTAGAAGGTGCTTATGAGAGTCCTCATGGGGTGCTGGTTTCCTTGTTGTGGTGAGGGGATGTAGAGTGATCCTTGTACGAGTTTCATTGATTCACGCTTTCCTCACCCACGTTTGAGATAGTTGCTGCAGTAGGAGTTCCATTCTCCATGTGATTCTTTCCCCAAAATAAGATTTGGAAGCTCGTAGTAAGCAGAGAAAAAAAATTTAAGTACGGGAGATACCCACCTCTCGTTAGGGATGGCAATGGGTCGGGTTTTGCCAAACCCAAACCCATGGGTTTATCTTTGAAAAAAAAACCCGGGGGTAAAACCCACTGGGTTTGAAAAACTCAAACCCAACCCAACCCAACCCGTTGGGTATCCGCGGGTTCATGGGTACCCACGGGTTTTGTCGTAAAAAATTTACAATTACAAGTTCTTATCAAACTTAAAGTCAAATATCAATCTCTCAATACAGATTATCCATATATAAAACACCATTCTAGAAAATTCAAGCAAATCACAAATTAACTATACAAATTGTTCAACACCAATCTAGAAAACTCAAGAAAATTGAAGCAAATCACAAATTATCCATAAATAACATGTTTAATTGAAAGCTTCTTCCTTTCAATTAAGTTTCTTTACTCTCCACTCCATAACATCAACTTCATTCTACACAATTAAAAAGAAAAAATTAGACATGTCTCCATAAACATAAATAAGATTAGTTGTTTAGAATATTAAATATACCGAAAAAATTAATTATATGGGTGGGCGAGTACCCACGGGCCGGGTTTACCTAAACCCAAACCCAACCCGATAAATAGTGAACGGGTTTAAACCCAAACCCGACCCAAAACCCGTCAACACGGATTTTACCCGCGTTGACCGGGTTGGGTCGAGTGGGTACCCGTGGGTTCGGGTTTTGTTGCCATCCCTACCTCTTGTTTCCCTTAGTAGAGCTTTTTGGTACAGACGACCCTAGATTCTTCTTGTGCATTTCAAAAGATTCCAAAATGGTCAAAGATCCCGCTTATGGGGTCGACTCTAGAGGTCAAAAAATTGTGGCCCCTGAGCATCAATTTTAACCCAAACATGGCGGCTGGGCTGCCGTTTTCTGTCCGGTGGGAAACGTCCACCTTAGCTTTCAGATTCAAGCAAACACCTCTTATTCTAAGGCTCACCCTCCACTCCAGCAAGCAAAGAGCAAGAGGGGAGAAAGGGGGCAATGCAGCAGCATAGCATGTAATAAAAAACAACTTACACCTTCCATAAAAGACCAATCACATTCTCCTTCTTATTATTATAAATGAAACGCCAAAATGAAGGAAGGAAAGAAAGAAATAGAGCACAAAAGACATGTCTCCATCATTGTTTCAATCAGAACAACTCATAATAAAAATCAACTGTTGCTCACCATCAACCACAATTCCACCCCCACCCAATTCGTTCAGTCAGTTTCGAGCAAGCCTTGCCACCCCAAGAAAGAAGATGCTTTGGACCAAGAACCCCGGCTCCCTATTAAACACTTCCCCTTTTCTCTCCTAATGACATTGCAGCCCCCTTCTTATCTTCAGTATGTATATCAAACTCACTTTTTACCTTTTGCTGCTATCTGACTCATTCATACATCATTCATTCTATGCTAAAGCTAAAATGGAGCTCGGTTTTTCCATCCTGTGCAACCAAGCAGTATGCTGTATAAAATTGGGGTATCTATCCTAACACTTATGCTGCATCTTGAAGCTCCAACACATTCGGATGTAGGCTCGCAATTCCCCCAAATTTTAAAACTCCCCACCACCAGTTGGATGCAGTTCAATTGAAGAGGGAGGGTAACGAACTGATGATATGAAAATGCTGTTATTTAGAAAAATAGGGGCATAATAAATAAAAAAGAATACATTATCTATGTACAAAATTCTTGCTTAAACTGTTATTGATAACTATGATGTACTTTGCGTACGTAATACAAAAAAAATTCGAGGTCCAGAGGCAAATACCTCATGGAAGAACCCTTGCCTTCTGAGTAGTGAAACGAGGAATCCCCAAGATAGCAATCAATCCACCGATAAGTGCTGCCAAAGCTCCCACAGCTATGGCTGGTGAGTTTCCACCACCAAACAGTTGATCCCATGGACCAGATCCCAGTGAGACCAGAACCTGCATTCAGTTACCACAACACAGTACCAAGTTGGATTTAGATGATATGAAATTTTCATTCAAAAGTGTTTCTTCACTTGCTACAACTACCCAAGATTAGAAGCAGTGAAGTAGAATCGGAACCAAATTACTCTTCCAAACAGAATTGATGGTAGCCTCTAATTATTAACATCAATTTGCTAACTATCTTACATTCATATTCCAGAAAGGGGCACCACAAATAACAGATGTATCCCTAAGAGCAACATACTCTGTTACTTTGGCTTTCATGAAACTCGAAGTCGATGAAAACACAACAAAGATACCACATATCTTTTTAACCAAATCAACTCAAGTCCTTGTGGTAACTTTTGATTGAATGATTATCATGGACTATTCCCACCATCAGCCGCTTCATAATACTGAGCTTTCTCTGAGTTGTCTGAAAAATAAATCACCTTGAACCACTTCCACACCGAAATCAACGTTGCTTCTACAAATATCTATCTATCTTTCCATATATGGAAACCAACCATTACGTAATCCTCTCCAAACTTAATTTGGTACAGATGCACATCAGGCACTTGTAAATACTAAATTGTGTATATTAATATTCTGAAGAGGTTCTTGGTCCGGGCATCTCTTAGAGAGCTAGATTATATTAGGTTTGGAGGCTCTTAGTCGCAACTCAGAAGGCAGTCTAGTTGGTATCCTCTGTTTACATTATCCTGCTTTGAATTCCTAATTTTAATTTAGAATCTAGGTAGATGTCCCTAACCATTTGAATGATATACCTTACAATCAAATTGGCATGCTTGGACATTTCCCACAGTTCGAAACTCAAAACACCCTCCCCTAATCTACTTCCTGCAAATTGTATCTACAGTATAGAGACAACTTGCCACCAAACAGCCCGAAAATTGTTGACTTAAGCTAGTAATCTGAACTGCAATTAGGTACTTTCGCTATCCTAATGACCATGAATCATTGATTGCAGAAGCAAGCAATCGGACTAAGATGGCTTGGGAAGTAAAAGAGGCATTAGTTACTTTTCAGATGTCAGTCATAAAATAACGTACTTTGTCCCAATGATAGAGGCATACATATACCAGTTCAAGACAGCAATATCCAACTCCCCCTCTAGTGGTACTCTCTCCAGCGCAGTACAGAGTATAAATCAAATATGAGAGTCCAGCAACTCTAAACCCTGTTTCCAGGTTTCCTTGAGATTTAGGTGATTGAACAACATCTAGTTAATTACCTATGTACTTCAAATGCTATCGAGCTGCAAGTCAACTGAGTATACATTCCCACTTGTAAAGATGACCTAAATAAGCCGCTCTAATAGAGGCAAGAAAGGCTACTATGTGCCTCATCTTTCCATCTTCCTGATTTTATGATCAGGAACCAAAGGAAACAGCTTTGATGTAATAGCAAGGTCACAGCAAGGAAATAAACCAATCAAACAATCCGTGAAAGTTACATATAAAGCAAAGCACCTGTGGAACGACGATTGCCAAATTCAAGACACCCATCGACAACCCTGCAAAACACATAATTAATAAAAGCACTTCAACAAGCAGAGTTAGAGCATATATAACAAATCAGTATGGAATACTGACCTTGGCCAAGCCCCAAAGGCTCAATGCGTGACGACACTAGCGCATATGGAACACTATATGTGATCTGCAAGAGAACATAAAGTAAAACCAGTTTCAATTTCTAACAAAAGCACAATCCGAATTGGTCCATTTAAGTCTCCTAAAGTATGATAAGTTCCAACATATTTCCAGGGTTGTAGTATAAAAACCATCAGCAGTTAAGACCAATACTATCTTACATCCGATCTATGCTTACTACTTGTGAAAAACATCAAAATTCTGCTCTTGTAAAGCACTAGAATATCACCATCCACAGTTTCAGCAGAGAATACCAACTACAAGGTAGCAGCCACAGTATGGTGCCAATGCAGCTCGGTATATAACGAGTAGCAACTTTATACTTGTGTTTCCATCACCGGAAAGCTAAGTCTCTGATGGTCGTTTTATTTATAAGAGTGAAGAGCAAAGACCCAAAATCCGGCAAAAAGGATTCACCAAAAAGATTAAGAAAACCCCACTTCATGCTATAGGTTGCCAGTAGGAAGGATTCAGTAAACTTACTGCCAATGGAATTCCAAGAAGTGCAAAAACAATCAGTGCGGCAATAAGAATGCCAACTGGCGGTTGAGCATCACCTTCACCATAATAGCCGATATGGTAGGCTACATATGCAATTATAAGCATTGCAAGGAAACATAGAGCCATAAAGATGTTTGAGAGTCCCCATATGAAGCCAGCTCCCCATTTCCTGCAGATCTTCTCCATCAGCACCGACGTTATTCCTAATAGAACCGAATTCAACATGAGAGCAAATGCTCCCATTCTGACTCCAGCACTATAACTTGGTCCTGAATCTGGGTCGCCTCCAAAGATTTCTCGCCCCATCCAGTCAGTATCAAAGAGAAGAAATGGAAACCAACCAATCCAATTCAGGGCAGTAACTAGCAATATAGTCCAAACAGATGCTGGGAAGTATCTGAAAGTCCCAAACAGTTCCCAGAGGAAAGCCTCTTCTGCATGGCCAGACACTTCCACTGCTTCTTCAGTAGCAGGTATCGATCCTTGAGACAACAACCCAATTGAGGGTTCTTTAGCAGATGAAATGCTTATATAGGCGGTGGTCATAATACAGACAATATCAAGATAGAAAGCAAACTTAAGATTGGCACAGTCCACGTCACATGCAGCTGTAACCGTGAAGGGGAAAATTTTGTACCAACCACTGAATGACCCAGTAGCAAAGCCAAGGATATTGCCAACAGCCATGAAAAGTGAGAAATAAGCATTCGCCACTCGAGTCCTGCGGTGATCTTTCCCTGTTAACATATCAAGTGATCAACATCATACATTTGATTCCATCTAACTTGAACCAATAAATATCTGTCCAGGTTTTGTACTAAAGGCAATTGGTTCACTTGAAGTCCCAATTTCCTAGTTTCCCACTTGACATAACATAACAACAATAGGCGAAGAACAACAGAACTAGTAGCAGCTAAAATATCATCCAACATATGGCTCTCAGATACATGTACAAAACTTATGCAAGTTGTAGCTTGCTTGGACATCGATAAACTGCGAAATTTTAAAACGTATCATTTCCCAATATTTGTTCGGTGCTCAAAGAAAAATAGATTACTAAGGAAGCCAGAGATGAGCCAAAACCGGGCCAAAGAAACTGAACCAATTGCAGTTTTCCCTGAATTAGGAAATAGATGGAAACAATCAAGGCACTAATGTAAGCAACCATCCAAAATACAGAGCATCAAAACCAAATGCAACAACCTGTGCACCATAAAGGATACAAACTTCAACAGAATTTGGACCCACTCAAACAAACTGTCCAAAACAAGTGCATTAGGCGTACTATCATTATTTTGGGATAATACATATGGCGCCTAGAACATTAACCACACCCAACAAATACTTTTCTGATGGTGATCACCTAACCTGCAAAGTGCAAACACTACATTATTACAGGGACGGGTTAAAATCCTCGGCTATTAAGCACCTTTTTTGTTCAACCCAATTTCCTACGTCCAAATGATACGTGGCACCCTATTCACCACTGACCCAACCCGGAAGAAAAAAATGATAACCCAATTCTGGAAGCCATTAATACTAGGGATGGCAACAAAACCCGAACCCACGGGTACCCACCTGACCCAACCCGGTCAACGCGGGTAAAATCCGTGTTGACGGGTTTTGGGCCGGGTTTGGGTTTAAACCCGTTCACTATTCAACGGGTTGGGTTGGGTTTGGGTTTAGGTAAACCCGGCCCGTGGGTACCCGCCCACCCATATAATTAATTTTTTCGGTATATTTAATATTCTAAACAACTAACCTTATTTATGTTTGTGGAGACATGTCTAATTTTTTCTTTTTAATTGCGTAGAATTAAGTTGATGTTATGGAGTGGAGAGTAAAAAAACTTAATTGAAAGGAAGAAGCTTTCAATTAAACATGTTATTTATGGAAAATTTGTGATTTGCTTCAATTTTTTTGAGTTTTCTAGATTGGTGTTGAACAATTTGTATAGTTAATTTGTGATTTGCTTGAATTTTCTAGAATAGTGTTTTATATATGGATAATTTGTATTGAGAGATTGATATTTGACTTTAATTTTGATAAAAACTTGTAATTGTAAATTTTTTACGACAAAACCCGTGGGTACCCATGAACCCGCGGATACCCAACGGGTTGGGTTGGGTTTGAGTTTTTCAAACCCAATGGGTTTTACCCCGGGTTTTTTTCAAAGATAAACCCATGGGTTTGGGTTTGGGTTTGGCAAAACCCGACCCAACCCGACCCATTGCCATCCCTAATTAATACCCTCCTTTCAATTTGGGATTTCGAACAACCTTAATAATGAAAATATATGATAGCGAGGTTTTGGTTTGTCGAAGCTATATCACAGTCCCCACCTTTCGTACTAAAACTCACGACTCGGCTACTTACTACTTACTAGCAGCAATCAAGCAGGAGAAGCGACCACGCCGCTACTACTGAAACCGACCCCTCCACGGCACCCACATTCCCCTTTCACCAACCGGTCCGACCCCACCACCCAAATCTCCACCCGAGCCGAGCGTACTATGTGACACTGACCCAGAAACGTTTTTTTTAATTAACCCACAAAGCTCTCTCTGATTAGTAATTCCTATTAATCAATTGATTGGGGTATAATATAACCGCACTACTTGGGAAGCTGGTAGAGAATGATGGAATCTTGAAAAGGATGATACAGTAACAACAATAAGAATATGTCCAATAATCAACATATTAATTAACTAATTAATCGCAATCAAGAATGCTTCTCCATGGGACAAGTAATGAACCAAAACATCGTATTAAGATAAACTAATTAATTAACTAAATCAATCACTACTGACCAAACAAGAGAAAGACAAAGGAAGAAAGGAAAGGGAAAGCAGAGCAGAGCAAAAATTAAGCAATTATCACCTCCACTAGGGTTCCGAATTGCAGAACGCGAACATAAAGGGAAAAAAAAAATGGGAAATCAGACTAAAAATTAAGCATTAAGGGATAGTGGATTTAGTCAATTTTACCAGTCATGTCGGCGAGGAGAGCTCTGCAAGGGCCCTGGGTCATGTTATTGGCAACATCAAGAATCCAAAACCCGAAAACGAAGGCTCCGATCGCTCTGGGGCGGAAATCGCCTCTATCCCCGAGCAGCCAGCCGATATCGGCGGAGTGACCGATGATGAGGACGGAGAAGGAGATGAGCAGTGAGCCGGCGACGATGAAGGGCCTCCTCCGGCCGAATCGACTGGTGCATCGATCGCTCAAGTGGCCCACCAGCGGCTGGACTATCAGGCCCGACAGTGGCCCGCACAGCCATATCACACTGGACCAGGCATGCGGAATTCCCAGCTCCTGGACGTACGGAGTCAGGAGAGAGAGCTGCAGCGCCCATCCGAATTGTATCCCGCCGGCAATCGACGTCACTTGCAGCAACAGTCGCAACGGGACTCGCTTCCCCGCCGGCGTCCGAGCGGCCGGCGGCTGTCTCGCTGCCCGGTGTGACCTGTTGGCCGCCCTGTGCGTCTCGACTTCAGAGATTGGCATCCGATTTTTCTCGCCTATTCTCGCTCAATTTCACCCCCTCCGCCGCCACCAGCACCACCACTTACTCGCTGGTATTGGCTTGGCTTCCCCTGTTTTGCCCTCCACTCTCTCTCTTTCTGTCTCTGTCTCGCTCTAAATAATGGAGATGCTTTCAACTTTCAAGCTCTCTCCAACCTTTCGCGGTGGAAGATGCAAAGCGGAGGAAAGCTAGAGAGTGGGGGGGGGAAATGGCGGTTTAGCTCTACCCAGACGAAATCCTTTAAATGCCCTCGCTAGATTCACAATTCGCAATTTTACCTGTAAACAAGAATCCGAGTGAATTACAGCGGGAGACGGCTTGGATTTGTGAGCATCTCCATATTGATCACCCAACTTTTGTTTTCCTCATTTGTGGGTCACTCCCTCAATTTTGTTTCTCTAACACTCGAGTACCTAACAGATTTCAATGTGGAAAATGAAGATCCAACTTTTCTTTTTAATAAAACTTAAAATCTCAAATTATGAATAAAAAGGCGAAGGAGACAAAAAACGAGGTGGAGAAAGAGAAACATTAGGTGATATTGTAAAATGGTAGCCAAATATTTTTTCTTTTTAGTTTATAAGTAAGTGTGTAATCTGATGTCCTAAAGATGTAGTTGGTGTAGTTAGGCACAACTATTTTGTGCTTTGGGTAGCTAGCTACCCAAGTGGTTAACAACTTAACATTACAAATTTATATATTTACTACTCTATAATATAATGGCAAAATACACTTGTATAGCCAAAACTTTCGCGTTTGTGACAATAATAGCCAATTTTGGAGAAATACCACTTATAGCCAGAATTTTGAAAGTTTCATGACAAATATAGCCATTTCCGTTACAAACTTTAACACCGTCAGTGACACCGTTAGTTATTTTAACAGTATGCTTACTGTGCTGCCAACTCACTGGACACGTCATCGACAACTCAGCCTTCGATGACAGGTGGATGCCACGTCAATTTTTTAATTAAAATAAATTAAAAAAAATATGTTTTTCTCACAAACTCGTCACTGCGCAAAAGAAAAGAAGATTCCCAATTTCATCGCAACCTCCGCCATCCCCAATTCCATCTAAATCTCTCACAACTCACCTGCCGCCGGCACTGTATTAGGACGAAACTCGTTTAACAGCCAGTGAAAGAAATTGATGATGTCGGAGGAGACGGAGTAGCAGGTGATCTTCGTCTCTTCAATAGCAATCCAGAAATCCATAAACCAAAACCCAAAAATCCAAAAAACCCGCCGAGAACCTTCATCTTCGTCCTCAAATCAATCTGTCGCTTCCTGTGAGAGTAGTCAACGCTTTCTCCCAATCGATTCGTATTCTTCCTAGTGATCGCCGCCCGATTTATGGAACGGCAGTGGCTGCTGCTTCCTCTCCACCACCCTAGTCCCCCCGATTCAACTCCACTAAAAACCCCATCTCCACCTCCTCTTCCACCGTTGGGGCTCGCATCTGCCATCACACATGTCCTCTTTTTTTCCCAATTAAATGAGAATGAAGCAAATTGGCCCATGCTCAATTTATTTTGTGGATCTCGATCTGGGTAGTGCTACAAACGACGGCGATGCCAAGCGGCGGAGGTTACAGCCGCACCCAAATCCGTCGCCGCCCAAATTGCAACTCCCAAATCCGTCACTACCTTGAAGATCCACCACCCCCAAATCACCGTCCAAATCCCCCTTTCTCTGAAACCCTTTCCGGCTCCGGCAACTCTCAAACCCAGTCGATGATGGAAGAAACGCGAGCGTCGTCGTCGAGTAAGAATCAAAGCTGCATCCTGCAGGAGGGACAGTGGTCGAAAGAGAAGGCTTCAAAATCAAAACAAAAATCGATCTTTGACGAGTGAAAATTCGATTCAAAAGTGTCAACCTTAGATTCATTTCGCCCCAGTGCTTTCTTTGCTTCCCTAGTCAAAGCCTCGCCCTAGTTAAAGCCTAGCGAGGAAAGATGCGTCGGCGTGAAGGGGTAGTCGCGGCGAGGGAGATTTTCGGTGGGGAGAGAGGGAGAACGCGATGAAGATGAGCGCCTGTTGGGGGAAGGGAAGGGGAAAGAACCGAGAGAGAAGAGAGAAAATAAACAAAAATGATTTTTTATTTTTTATTTTTTCAGTTAATTCCACCTCATTTTTTTATGGACTAAAAGATTGACACATCAGCTTTTCTGTTAGTCTAGTCAGCATGTTATTTCACACCGTCAAAGAATTGGACGGAAGTGGCTATTTTTGGTATTTCGCCAAAAGTGGCTATATTTGACCAAACCGTCAAAGTTTTGGCTATACAAGTGTATTTTGCCTAATATAATCACCTGAATATCAATATGATCCCTGAATCTTAACAGAGCGAAAATTGTTCATTTGTTTGTTTAAGGGTTCGTTTGGTTTTAGTAAATAGATGCATTGTATTTCACACTGTTTGATTTTGTGATAGTTATTTTTGTGTTCAAATAAGTTATATTAACTTTTTAGTAAAATATCACTTTTAATCTTTGTTTCTAATATAAAAATACTACACATATACGCAAACTATCTCAACAATCTCATTTAAAAGGTGAGATATAACTATCCCCCATTTTCACCATGGTTTAAGAAACCCTTCCGGACCAGCCGGTCTGACTGAAAATATTGGATATTGGATCCCAAATGCTAGGCTGTTTTAAGGGTACAAAATGGTTGAACCAAGATTCAACCATGATATTATTACAAAATACGCTACCATTAACTTTTCCTGTATGGTTTCGCAATCATTGATTTTGACTCATAGTTTGTGCCACATCAAGCAATCAATAATAGTATGCATATGAACAATACAATAATTGTAACAATCTCAACCAAATTATCACCAAAATCAAAAGGCCCCTAAGAAACAAAACTAAATCTAGTGTTTTTGTTCATAGATTTGTTAGAAAGATAAAAGATAGGAATACAAAGAACTAAGTTTATCTCAACTCTAGTAAGAGCATTGGGTGGTTGAACGCACAAATTCACTCGCAATTGACGTACCCATTATGTTATGGGTGGTTCATATGAGTGGGTACGGGTTCTATTGTAGGTGACACACTAAAGATTAAGTGGGTGGTGGTGGATTGTGGTAGACCCACGATCCACCCTAATTTTCAACCTCAAACTAGCAAAACTCTAACCTATAGCTTTACTTAAATTGAAATCCTCAAAATAAAAATAAAAATATCGCTCATCCCATTTCGATCAAAAGATTTGATAATATATCTGGTTATCCTTCCTTCCGAGTTTCAAATGAATATATTCTCAAAATTATAATTATTGAGGATATTTGTAAAGTCTAATTTGTTTCATTGCTAGAAATCTAAATCATGTGTCCACTCTCTTTTACGATTCATTGTTAACTTTTCTTGATTCTATAGTAATTTGGCTTATTCTATTGTTTTGGTTTAGAAGTCTTCTATGGGTGATTGTGCCTTAAAAACTTGGACAATTAGTTGAGTTCTAGTGAGTGATTGCGGCTTTAAGACTTACACAATTAACTAGATTATGATGAAGATTTGTCTTTTCAATTTTTGTTTGGCTATTATTAGACTTATAGCATGTTTATTAGTTGAATATTTATACGATTTGTGATAGATTACTAGTAGTAATATAGTAAACTAAATTATGCATATAATTTATGATTTAAAGGTTATTTAGTTTGGAGATTTTTTTCATTTGAAGTTTAAAACAATTTTAGTTATGTGACCTTTTGGAATGTATGTTGTGAACTCACGAAGCCGCCCACTATACACAAGCACTCAACCCATTACAATTACATATTTGAGTAGGTGGGGTCATTTTCTGCTTCATCTACCACTTAGTGGGTCGATCTGAACCTACCCAAATTCGCATAGAATCACCGACTGCTCACCCCTAACCCTAGCACACTTAACTCTACCCCCTGGAACGTTACCTATCATTTTATCGGCAGTTGATTTGCAATCCTATAGATCACCGGAAAGATTGAACCTTTTTTTTTAAAGTGAGTGAACCTAATGTTTATACCATAATTGATGCCTAATGTTTATGGGCCGTCTGAGTAGCATGTAGTTCCATCAAATAAGTTTGAAGCTAATGTTTATACCATAATTTATCCATTATAATAAGCATAATAATACTGGCCTTTGGAGCGGGAATAGGGTCAATGAGCATCTAATAAATACAAAATCAGTAAGCACTCTTAACTTATTAGCAAGTGTATTGTAAATAAGACTGCATCGGAAATGGATAGATTAGGAATGGCAATGGGCAGGTCCGGGCGGGTATCATGCTACCCAAATTCGTCCTATGGCAAGTCAGCTTCAGGTCGGGTAATTTATTATGGATCGCGGGTTGGGGTAGGTCGGCCCAATGGGTATGCAATTTATATGAAAAACATTAAAAATATTTGTTGATAACATTATAAGACCAAGAAAACAAACCATATTATGATAAATGTAGTTAAATTATTGGAGAAATTGAGGTTTTCACTAATTTACGATGTCAGAACAGAAGCGTGCAATTGATAATCCAAACCAATACGAACGAACACAAATTTAACATGGTTCACTAACACAATGTGTGCTAGCTAATCCACGGGCAGGGGAGAACAAATTTCACTGATTTTGAGGAGAGTACAGGTTACAAACCAAATTCCGGAACGGACAAACAAAACAAACTAACCCGACGGACCTTACAACAAATTAGGGTGGTGAAGAGTATTTATAGAACTCTTCTTCTAATCCCAAACAGAAAACCAAATACATTTTCCCAAACATACAAGGAAAAGGCCAAAACAAAGTCCAAACACAAACCCAAACAAAATAGGCCCAAAACACAAAACAAACCAAATCAAATTCAAGTAATATTCTAACATACGACTTTGTTATAGCTAAAATATGATGTAATAAAAGCGAAATTCTAAGAAATTTTATTAAGATTATATGTAATTTAGGCAAAAATAAGTCGAGAATGAGGCGGCGGGTCAGGGCAGGTCGGGCCGATGTGAGTACTCATGCCTGTCTCGCCCCACCTACGGGGCGGGAACAAGTCAAACAAATCGGGTAAAATGGATAAGTTGAAATTCTCATCCTAGGATAGATAATTGACAAAACTGATTGCATTTCTATGGAATATAAGTAGCTGAATGATCAAAATAACAATTAACAAGCGGGGAAAAGAGCCGTTGTAAGGTGTATGACAAAAAAATGGCAGGGGCAGTAATTTGATACCAAAAGCAAGGGTGAAGTTAATAGAAAAGTGACGTATGTAAGTCGGAGTGTTGGGACCCGAAAGCGGAGCTCCCAAAACTATACTACTAAACTATGACGTAGGTAGAGGGTGGGGAAGTTTTGGGAGTCGTCACCGGAATTGCCGGAAACGCCCAGCCAAGGCAAAGTGCGGTGGCATGGGCAAAAATGTAAACAAGTACAAAAGCGGGTGGAAGTGGGTCGGCTTTATTTGAGGTTGGCTGGCTGGTAAAGGAGGGCCGGCGCCGGGCGGCCACCGGGAACGATAATAAAACTGTTAGCCGGTAATTAGTTTTGCCAGGGCCGGCCCTAGGATTCGGGAGGCCCTGTTCTATAAAAAAAAAATGAGGCCCAACTTTTTTTAAAAAATAATCATTAAATAAAATGCAATAATCAATAAATAAAAAATATTTTTATATAATTTGAAACCAATATATATTTAATATTATTTTAATAAAGAGTGACAATGGTTTAAATATAAAGATGAAAAAAATCGGTTACTACTAATTCCAATTGGATAATGGTTTATATATCTAATATTACTTATTAAAAAATATGATAATGGTTTATATATCTAATATTGATTACAAAATAAAAAAATATAACATTGTGCTTAAAGATTACTAATTTAAATTTCATAGATGACATAATTAGTAGAAAAATAAAATTAGGATAATAAACTTTACAAATATGATCGAAGTTTGAAGATGAAAGTAGACCATTGATGACATTTTTTGGTGAGTCTTTATTCATTGAATGATGGGATGGTAGTTGAAATAAGATGCTAAAATTCAAAATTGAATAATAGAGAGAGTAATAAAACAAAAAACGAAGCAAAATTATCCACATAGTAACTCCACAAAAAAATAGTCTATTAATTGGATTCACCTAAATATATTAGGAGAACTCAATTGATGCTAAGGGTAGAAAAGCTAAGAGGAAAAACAAAGAATAAAGGGGAAAAAATGTTAAATGAGTAGAAGTAAATTATTTGGATTTGAGTTTATATCACAAGTTTAATACAATAGTAATATTTATATTAAGTAATTCCATTTCTTATTGTTGATAACTTGGGTAGTGTGGTTACGGGAAAGTATTATATACTTGTGCTTTGATTTATTTATCCTTTTTTACTGTTAATGTGAGTGTGGTATGTACAACTAATTAGTAATTACTGAGCTGAAATGATAAACAACGAATAATAATCTGGCATGCCCAACTTGGGTCTAAAGTGTTGGTAATTATCTAATGGGCTAATACTACGGTGCAGCTATAAAAAATGCGGCACCGGTAACGCACTTTATGATTGGGCCACGTGGATATGACGTGGCATGGGGCTGGGTAAACCCACTGACCATGAGACTGCCCAGACCGCAGCAATAAAATAGATTCCGTCTTCTGTCTTCACAGCCGTTTGACTATTTTTTATTTTTGTTCATAAATTAAAACGGAAAAGCTAGAGTCGTCTTCCTCGATCGCTCGCTCCGTCCGACTGTGAACAGAAAAAGCTACCCCGGCGAACTCCGCCGCCATTGATCCGATTCCCCTCTCTACCACATGCCTCCACTTAAATCCTGCACCATATTCCTTGTCCTACATTCATTGTGTACAAAAAAAAACGACGATTCCCTGTTTTCGAGAGGCCCTCTGTCTCCGTCGAAGTGCTCAGCCGACACAGACGATCTGAAGGCGAAGAAAGTTTGAATCGCCTCCCTGCGTTGTCCCTCGCTCTGCACCCTTCTTGTTGATTCTTCGAAACCTAGCTGCCTAGAGACTTTACCTTACCAATCTGAAAGATCCTGATAATTTGATTCATTTGTGTTTTGAGGAAATAGG